CTGCTGAATCACCTCTCTGACTGGAGATCTGGGCCATTCCACAGAGAGAGAGAGTGTGTGCAAATTTTGTGAATTTAGTAAGTTTTTCCTGCTTTTATTTCCCCTTAATTTAAGGTACGTAGCACAAATGGGAGCCTTTTATTTAGCACTAATGAAGTTCATGAATATTTTTGTGGAAAGAAAAACATGTCACTTACACTATCAAAATGAAATCGACCTGTTAATAGACTATACGTCGTTTTTACAAGCTTACAAAAACGCCAAATTTTGCAAACCACGTCCTTCGCTTCAGTCGTTCAATGTTATAGAACGAAATCTACCTTTTCTAAACGACATGTTTTTTTTTTTTTTAAATCTAAACGTACTCATTTAAACAACACGTCATCATTCTATAGACGAGAACGGCGCGTTTCAGCTACATGCCACCATTACTAGCTTTTATCGGAAAATAAAAAGAAAAAAAGGAAAAATCTCCACGTTAAATGAAATGTGAATGCATGATATTAAGATTATGTTAATTCAACGACATTGTGTTTCAGAAAAAAAAATTTACAACGACATTTTGTTTTGGATGGTAATTCATAAAGAAACCTCATAAATTAAGGGCATGTGGTTAGCCCAATTTGGCAAACCAAATCTTATTTTAGGAGAGAAAAACACTGATAATCACAATCTTCACATATATATACATATATATTTTTTTTCCTTTTGGGATAAGCTTTAGGTATTTGCATAATAAATTTTAAATAAACATATTGTCACTATGGATGGCTAAACGAGAGAAAAGAAAAGTCCCAAAAAGTGTTTTGATAGCAAAAAGAAGATTTTAATTACAACGTTTGCCAAATGACATGCAAATTTGTCGACGCCCCTTTATTTTTTTAAATTCTTTTTAGAAGGACATACGAAATTATAATTCTATTGAAGGATTTTAGGATTAAATTTAATAGAAAAAAAATAATCATTTTGCTGATTCGAGTTTAGAATTCGAGTTTTACTACAGTAAAAAGCTCTTACAAACAATCACATCTAATTTTTTTACTACAGTAAAAAGCTCTCACATAAAATCTTATCTCAACTCGAATTAAAAACTTGAATCAACAAACTAAACGGAGCTTAAAAATCTTTTATAAGATAAAATTAACAATTTTCATTTAAAATTTAATACAGCGACTATTTATGAAAAAAAAAATTAGCGGAGGAGTTAATAATAAATAAATAAATTGATTTTAAAGACTAAATTGTAAAAAGAGAAAAACGTTCGGGACTATTTATTACTTTTACCTCTAAAAAAATTTTGAAAAAAAAAAAAAAAATCCTCCCACGTCGTTAGGTTTAACACTTCTGGTTTAAATTTCGAGTGCTTCCCACTTCCACATTTCGGCTCCGAAGCTCAAGAATTGTTCAGCGACAGAAACAATTGGATCTTGCAAATTTGTAAGTTCTTTTCATTCATTCCCAATGTCAAAAACCCATGTCTAATTTTCTCTGCAAAACCATTCTATTTGGAAGTTGTAATCTACGAACTTTATCGCCAATCAGTAAAAACCCAAATCTGTTTCCTCTCCGATTGATCTCAACTAGTTCAAATCAGCAATTGTTCAGCAACAGAAACAATTGGATCCGGAAAATTTGTAAGTTCTTTTCATTCATTCCCAATGTCAAAACCCATGTCTAATTTTCTCTGCTAAACCATTCTATTTGGAAGTTGCAATCTACGAATTTTATCGCCGATCAGTAAAAACCCAAATCTGTTTTCTCATAAATGGATCTCTACTAGTTCAAGTCAACACTCTTTTGCAGTCTCATACCTCATAAACTCACTTGGGTTTTCTCCAGAATCTGCTTTTTCATCTTCTAAGTATGTCAATTTTAAGAGTCCTGAGAAACCAGACAAAGTCATAAACTTGTTCAAAAAGTATGGTTTCACCCAAATCCAAATCTCAAGCCTTTGTAGAAGAAAACCTATACTACTCTCACTTGATGCTGAGGACATCATTTTGCCGAAATTGGAGTTTTTTGAAGCCAAAGGCTTTTCAGGCCCTGAAATAGCTAAAATGGCATATGTATTTCCTAATATCTTGGCAAGTAGCTTAACCAATCAGATTATGCCCTCTTACGATTTGATTAGGAATTTGTTTCAATCCGAGGAGAAGGTCGTTGTTACTGTTAAACGATTTCCTAATATCCTCACACACAATATTGAGAAATATGTAGTGCCAAACGTTGATATTTTGCGAGAACATGGAGTGCCTGAATTCAGAATAGCCAGACTGATGCAGGACTATGCTGGCTGTTTCATTACAACTCCTCATTATTTCCGGAAGGCTGTGGAGAAAGCGGTGGAGATGAGGTTTAATGCTTCAAATGTAAACTTTGTTCTTGCAGAAAATGTATTGCGGTGGCTGAGCAAATCAAAGTGGAAAAGTAAGAGCGGTGGCTGAGCAAATCAAAGTGGTAAAGTAAGAGCAGTGGCTGAGCAAATCAAAGTGGAAAAGTAAGGTTGATGCACATAAAAAGTGGGGTGTGTCCGAGGAAGAGGTTTTGAAAGCCTTTAAAAAGAGTCCTTGGTTCATGATGGTATCTGAAGATAAGCTTATGGCGTCTATGGATTTCTTCATCAACCAAATGGGTTGGAAACCTTGTCTTATTGCTCAGTGCCCAGTGATCCTTACATTGAACTTGAAGAAGAGAGTGGTCCCAAGGTGTTTGGTATTTCAAGTTCTACTCTCAATAGGTTTGGTGAAGAAGGAGGTTGGAATTGCTATGTTATTGCTAGTTTCAGAAGAGAAGTTTGTCACGCCTTGTAAGGAGGAATTTCCAGAGTTGTTGAAGTTGTACAAGGAAAAATTGGATCTTTTGATTGATGATAAGGCATAAAAGTATATTGCATAGTAAGATTAAGCAATCTTCTGAATGCTTATATAATAGATCAATTTTCCCTTGTCAAGTTAGATGATATAGTTGAGATAGTTTCATTCTTGTGTATCCTTATGTTGAGATCCAAGAATGGATTCTTTGTTTGTAATTGATGTTTAAATCAATCTGCTGGTGTCTGAATATGACCGCCTGATCTTGTCTTTAAAATTCAGGCCTGTTGAAGCAATCACTGGATACTCAGGGCTTTTTATTCTGCCATTTTGTACTATTATAGGATCCTTTATTTATTTTAGGCTAACTCAATCCAATCTACTTTTTTTCTTTTTTTAAAAAAAAGGCAGATTGTTGTATTTCTAGGTAAAAATAAAAGCAGATTGTTATACTATGTTTCTATTTATTTTAAAAACCGTTACTGGATCTTGTGACATGTCCGAAGCATATGAAATATTTTCCTTTCCTGCTCTGTTACTTCCTCTTCTTGCACTTATACTACTCCAAAACACATATATAATTTGTTAATTTGAACAAACTTTATCTGTAATATTGTGTAACTCTCTTTTCTCATGACCTCCTGGAAGATCTACCCCGTCCAAAAGAATGAATACCCTGAAAAAGCAAACCCTATACTCTCAAAATATTTCTCTTGATCTCCTAAATGGTACTGGTCTCCATGCCTTCCATAAAGTGCTGTGAAAGTGAGGGTCAATAGGCCGCGGTTGAACACAACATTTGTCCTGAAACTTCAGCTCCAGTTCTTTTGAAACATCATAAAATCTGCATCACGAAACCCCTGCACGTTTAGCAACTGTAATTTCGCCCAATGAAGGCACTACTTTCATTCACTGACTCATGAATCTCAAAACCAGACTTCCTGTTGCTGTTCTAAGTTAGAGCTTTGGGATTTCAACTTTTTTAGTTAATTTGTTTCTTCTTTTATTTGTTATTGCACTTTTGTTTGGAATTGATCTTTGGGGTTGTTATGTTATCATGGGATTGTTTGTAGTCTTTTTCTCTTTATCTCTTAGTTAGTGTATTTGTGTGTAGTTAATGGGTGAGTGTGCCCCATAATTTGGGATTAGCTTTTAATCTTTATTTATTTATTTATTTAAGCATTTAAGAATGTACAATGAAATGTTTATATTTCTTTTCCTTTCAAGTTCAAAAATAATCTGTGAAGATTCAAAACATCAACTGTTGTGTTTTTCAGAAGTCAGTGCTCTCATTCTCCAAAAACACTCGAGTAGATGTTCGAGATTTGTTTCGGCACATGTTGGGGAAGATGGTATATGATTGTCATGCCAAATAAGAAGCAACAACTTTAGTGACATTGGAAAGAAGGTATGGTGATCAAGATCATAGACTGGGATTCATTTATGGGCTACAGTATTACCTTCTCTGAAAGCCCTTGCTTTGTTTGTTCGGTTTCTGTGTGTTTTATTCAAAAAAACTGTTTTAAGGCAATTGTGAAGTCCAGTCCAACCTATGCTATAAGCTGCTATAAATTGTCATAATCTCTTCTGACAAAAACTACAATTCATGATGGCTATATTGGGTTGCTGGAAGCCTTCATTATGGTAGGTCTAAAGGTGGTCATTCCCCTAGTTATACGTAGATTAATGAGTAGATTAATGAGTGTGAGTTTGGTTGGTGGATTCGTGTCATGGTTCAGATTATTGTTCGTGACTCGCTATAGTATTTTCTCTCACAAAAAACACACGTAAATCAAAAATAATTCTGAATCATAATTTTGAATCTATGAACCAAACGTCCAGTTCTTGTATGTATATTTCTGCCAATATGTAGTTATCAAATCTATGTCAAACTAATGCATACTCTAGTTATCCTTCTTTTTTTTTTTTTTTTTTTGGTCATCGTCATTGTTATATAAGTTGCTTAACTTTAAACGAAACGACAATATCATAGAAACAATATCTTGCCATGTACATTACATCCTTATAGAATGACTCTCATCGAATGTAAAACTACACTCCTTTTTTTTTCTGTGAATGTCATTTGCATATGCAATATTTTTTTGTGAGCGTATTGTAGGAGCAGCCATTCAGGGTGAGGGATGACACTAATGGCAATAACCTGTGAAAGGTCATTGTAAAAGAACGACAATGTCTCATACGAACGACAACATATTAAAACAACTGTCTCTTTTATAAGCGACTGTAAACGACAATACTTTTTTCATAGAAAAACATGTTAGCACGCATGAAAAAATATATTGTGAGACACCATGAGCAAATAAATACCATGTCACTTACAAAAGACAATGTAGCATAGGAACGATAATGACATGAGAACAATAACAATTCACAAACGCTGGAAGTTTATGCCAAACTAAATGGGCCGGTCTGAGGCCCATAATTAATGGTCGGGGCCCTGTCTCAAATTTTTTGTGCTTAAGACCGGGCTAGATTGACCCTCTCTTTTTTAAGGCTGACCCGACCCGGCCCAAATATCATATTTTAAAAGATATTTTTTTGAAAATACCTTATAAAATTTTAGGCCGGGCCCTAAACTTTTTGAGCTTAGCGGAGCTGGGCCGACTCTTTGTCTTTTAGGGTCGGGCTGGCCCAAAATTTCTCTTAAAACCGCCAAATCGGACGGCTCAAACTTACATCTCTAAACGACTGTAACTAATAATGACGATATTTCTTGCACAAAGGCCAAAACAACAACTCCGTGAAATGTAAAATAATAATAATAATAATAATAATAAAAATTAAAAATTAAAAAAAAAAGAAAAAAGAACTCCGCGAAACAGCAAAGTCTCTTATAAACTAGGGGTGTGCAAATTGCAAACCAAACCAAACCGTTTATTTTAAGTGAGAAACAAACTAAACTAATTTCAAATTGGTTCAGAGATTTTCAAACCAAACCAAATCAATTAAGGGATCTAATCCAATTGAAACCAAACTGATTGTAATTGGTTTTGTTTAGTTTTTCTAATTAATTTGAACTAATAATTTACAACATTTTTTTAAGTCTTAACCATAACACTAATATTTTTTGTGCTCTTTTGTCTTTTTCTCTTTCTCTTCTAAAGACAAAATGAAGTCAAAGCAATTAAATTGTAGATATATTTATATAAAAAATATTAGTTGTGACTCATGATTGAATATGATATTCAGCTTTTTTAAATATATGAAAGAAAACGAATGTAGGTAAATTAAACACTTATTATTACGAAGGCTTTTTGCACGTTAACAAATAGGCAAGGGTTTAGAGAAAATTACGATCAGAACCTAGAAGAGTGGAGAAGTGGAATGAGAGAAGAGGAGCGGAGAGAACTTGAGGGTAGACCGTGGAAGTAGTGTTAGTTCCGTATATATAGGTTATGATAGAATCTTCTAAGAGTACGATCATCTAATTTGGGAATAAAAGAGTTATGTAAATATAAATATGTTAAAAATATATGAAATATCTATAATTTTAGGAAAGTTATATAGATAGAAATTGGTTTAGTTTGGTTTGGTTTGGTTTGGTTTTTTTAAGGGTAAAATTACAAACCAAACTAATTTAATTAGTTTTCTAAAAATTTAAACCAAACTAAACTGATTATTAATTAGTTTGATTTGGTTTTCTTGTGATTTGGTTAGTTTGAATGGTTGTTGCACACCCTTATTATAAACAACTACATTTGTTACCAGCAAAACATTGTAATAACATGTTAAATGAAAAAGGACAAAGTAAGCAACAATATCCATTCTAAACGACAGTAAAAAAAAAAAATGAAATGACAACATTTCATTAACAACTGCAACATAATATCTTTAAACGATGACATTTGTTTCCAAAAGCAAAAATATCTCGAAAACGCCCAAATAATTTAATCACATCAAAAACGACAATTTTGATTGTAAACGACAACATTATTTGAAAAGCAACAATGCAAACGACCAGATTTCTGAAAAGCGATTCATCTCTCAAGTAGTGAGCTAACAAGCGAAATTTCAGTTAACAACAACGAATTTAAAAAGGATAGCTTCTTAAAACATGAAAATGCTCGAGAAAGAGTTCAACGTCTATTATGAAGGACAAACAACTACGATTAATGACAGCATCTACATAGCGACAAAATAGTTGCAAAAGAACACGAGGATCATTTTCAAACGACAACATTTCTCAGAGAGGGTACATATCTTAGAAACGACACTTGCACTTACAAACAATGAAAAATGACCGGAAAACAAAACGGCAGTCACTTAGGAATGACAATATTCGATACTTATATTTTGTCCGTGTGTGCGCCTTAAAAAGACAGTCCCTGACAACAATTGTCTACGAATGCAGTAAAGTATTACAATCGTTCACGAAATACTACAAAACAAAGGAAAATTAAGTGAGATATCTTTTATTTAAAACCCTAAAAGGAAAAGGAAAATTCGTAATTGACATCTAAAAAATAAATAAGGAAAATGGTTAGGAAGAGAAGGAAGATTGAGTGTTATATTTTTATCTTTTATTTAATAACCTAAAAGGAGAAGGAAAATTGAGTGTGATATTTTTATCTTTTATTTAATAACCTAAAAGGAAAAGGAAAATTCGTAATAAATATCTAAATAAGGAAAGTAGTTGGGAAGAGAAGGAAAACTATTTGTATACGTGTTATGATACTTTAGAAGAAAGCTCGAGGGCAATTTTAAAAATAACTCTTGAAAACTCCCTTTTATTTTTACTATTAACATAGTTAAAGGTAGAGTAGAGTTTTTTAAAAGAAATATTTTTAATAAGTTAGGTATTTATGAAAAGTCGAGTAGAGTTTTGAGTTTTTTTAAAAGAGATACTAGTAAGTTGGACCCGTTCGGTTTGTTAATTCGAGTTTTTAATTCAACTTGAGATGTGATGTTGTGTGAGAGCTTTTCACTGTAACAAAAAAGTTAGATGTGACTGTTTCTGAGAGTTTTTTACTGTAACAAAACTCGAATTCTAAACTCAAATCAGTGAAAAAAACGGGCCTAAATATGTAATTTTCTCAAACCTCAATTGTATATCAACATATATCTACACATGGGTCACATGGATTCAGGCATTTGCTTTTTTCTTTTTTTTCTTTTTTTTTTTTGTATAAATAAGTTAATGACACCACGTGAAAGCAGTATAACAAGAAAGACAATGTCGTCAATAAGGATCCAAGTGAAAGATCTGATGTGAAAGCCTGCCAACTCAAGAAATTTTCCAAAATATATATAGTATCTTATTTCTTAAATAAATATAAAAATATAAGAAACCTTAGTAACTTAAAAGCATTAAGGACTTTAAGATTAAAAGTCTACTAGTAGCTCAACCTTTTCAAGGGGAAGGAAAAAAAAAAAGGAAATGAAAAACCACAACAAAGATAGAGAAAATTGCTTTCTCCAAACTACTACTCTAAGCAGCCTTCTTCTTCTCAACGAGCTTCTCAATAAGATCAGCAGCATCTTGGACGGTGGCAATACTCTGAGCACTTTCTTCCTCCACAGTGATACCAAAAGCCTCCTCAAGCCCCATCACAATCTCAACCTGCATGAATAAAGTGTGTATGTTTATATATAAACAAATTAAGCAGACAAATACAATAATATTTCCAAAAGTTTAGATTAAAAAAAAAAAAAGATGTCCTGAATGTTCGAGCACTATGTTTGATTCTAAGCCAATTTAACCAGTTTTTTAGAAACCCAATTCCTTTTTTGTTTTTGATTCTCCAAACTCTAAATGTACCAAAGAAAAATTGATTTATCATGTGGAGATTTCGCTTCAGAAAACACCACTTTTTTTTTCACTCTTAAAAACAAAAAACAGAAAATGAAATTGAAACTGTTATCAAACATAGATAGAAAGTTATAATAGTATGCCAATTCCTTTGAGCTCCATCACAATCCCAATCTTCATGGATGAAGTAGATAAAACAAAAAAAAAATCTCTTTTCTTTTTTTTTTTTTGGTGAAAAAAAATGGTGCCAATTTTCAAATTTTAGTTGTGACAAAAGATGTTTTACAATCCTTTCTGTACTTGTGATTCTTCAAATTTTCAATGCAACAAACAAATTTTGAACATAGCAAAGGCATGTAGTCTGAAACATAAGAAACAAATAAAATTTAAGGTTAAAGGCCTTGATTAAGTGTTAGTTTACCGTGTCGAGAGAATCCGCTCCGAGAGCAGCAAACTTTGATTCTCCATTGACAGAAGAATCCTCAGGAAGAGCAAGCTGCTTCTTTACTATTTCAGAGACCTTTTTGACAGTCTCTGGTTTGGCCTGACAAACAAGAGATTCAACTAGTGTTCATTAAATCCATGCCTAACAAACTACTTTATAATTGCAATTTAGTCCTAAGGCCCCGTTTGGTTCCTATACTTGAATCCATGATTTCCCGTCAATGTATCAGAATCACTAACTTCAACTTCAACTTCAATGCGTGAACCAAACCGACCCTAATTTATCAATATCTAATTGAAACTTAAATTTTGGCATAACAACAAAACTAGACTATCAAATTCTATGTCTAGTACTCGATTAGATAGATAAACTTACAGCGCAGGAAACTCGAAGGCGCCTAGGCTGCGACCGGAGAGACGGGAAGCGGGGCGAAAACGAGATTGATTTCACTTTAGAGATCCTGCTGGCAGGAACCTGCTTAGACATTCAACATTAATAATAAGTGATTTTAGCACAGTAAGGAATTAACTCTTCCTTTAAATAAAGAAAAATGACAATTCAATGGTAAGGGTACGAAAACAGAAATAATATCATTCCGGTAGGACACAATTTTAAATCGTAAGATCACATAAGAATCATCTCATATCAAAAAAAAAAAAAATATATATATATAACAATTTAACAAAATCACATAAATATAATATATAATAATATAATAGGATATACATAAAAAAGTGTTCTTTGGAAACAAGGATACAGAGCTATTAAGCAGATCATATATATATGTTTTAGTGTCCCAGAAAATGCGTGCAAAGACCTTAAGAAATATAAAAATGAATATGCTAAACCAGATCATATCCAAAATGTGCATGCTACGAAGACAATTTAGAAGTTTTCCACAAAATTTGGTAAAACGTTTATTCGAATTGCATGCAAATCAAGTCCAAGCTCGATTCTTGATTATAAATAATTAACATGCTCAATTCACAAGATTATCAGAAATTACATCCAGTTTTTTTTAAAAAAAAAAAGAAGCAAGATTGAAACTCACTAACGAATATAAGAAAAGGAACAACTTTGCAAAAAAAAAAAAAAAAATCTAGGCTAAAAACAGAGACTTAAACACCAAAATCTCGTTCATTTCACAGTTTAAAATTTAAGATTTGAGTTTTGTATCAGTAAAAAGCTTTTAAAAACAATAATATTTTACTATGACGATCTAACTCGAATTAAAAACTTAAATTAGCCCGTAAGAGCTCAAGAACAACAAGAAGAGGAAAAATCTGACCAAAGTGAAAAATACCCAGACAGCAAATCACAACATAAAGAGTAAAGAAGATGAAAAACAAAGTGAAAATTTGGTAAAAATAATTACAAGGCTGGGCTTGAAGGAGGCCAAGGAAAGCGACGATCCTGCGAGAGAGGCCATTTGGGTATTGAGTGAAAAGAGCGAGAGAGATCTGAGATTGAAGAGAAGGATTTGAAAGAGTCTGGAAGAGAGAGAGAGAGAGAGAGAGAGAGAGAGAGACGGAGAACACGAAGAGTGTGAGTAGGGGGATCGGAGAGAGAGGAAGAGAGGAAGAGAGGTTTATAACGTCGTTTCTTTGGATTTTTTTTCTTTTTTTCTTCGGGTTTTTTATTTTTTTTATTTTTTTGTATTTTTGCATTGAATGTCCTCTTCATTGTTTTCTCCGATGTTTGTTGAGATTTGTTGGCAACGTTTTGTTTGGCTTCGTTTGTATCGAAGTCTTTGGGAGGTGTTTGGGTCCACCCACAATTTCAATCTCACCTTGGCTATTTTCATTTTGGCTATTTGGTAACCGACTTTGGCTCCACAGGACAAAGTCATTTAAAAGAAAACAAAAATAAAAATGTACTTTGGACTTTAAAGGTGGGGAATTTTTTTACTTTTTTATTAGAAAAGCAACTCTAAAAGAAGGAGATTGTGCATTTGTAAAATTATAATTTTAAAAGTATAATATGTCAAAAGTAAAGATTTTCTTTAGATAAATACAATAATACTTTCCGATCTAATCAGCATTAAATGATGCGTAAGGACTAGTCCATATAAATTTATTTAAAAAAATTATGCTAACAAACCGGATAATAAATAAATAAAGGGTGATTTGTATAAATGATTCTTAATTTTTTTAGTAAGTAATAGTTTGATCCTAACTTTTTTTTGATAAAATGACTCCCGATCTTTTAAAAAGGTGAGAGATTATTTCTGTTAAATTTTGTTAAATTTTTAAATGTTACCTTATTTTTCAGTAAAATGACTTAAATACCCCAAAAAAAAATTATCCCCCCATTAATTTGGATTTTCATTTTATTTTTTCCCATTCCAGCCCCCAAATCCCCTTTCATCTTCTCCAGAAAATTCGCACAAAAATCAAGCACAGCTCGTGCTTCAGCATCTGCGCCACCGACGCCAGAACCCTAACCCTGACCCTATGGCTCTCCACAGTTGCTTTGATCATCCCCAGCATCATTGATTCTCGAAGACTTTTCTTCTCCCTCAGTTGCTTTCCCATACCGATTCCCCTCCTCGTTAGTTGCATGTTTGGTTACGGCAGCTGAGCTCCATTCATTCAGTTTCTTGCGAATTTCCTTTTTAGCCTTCTCCATTATATTTCTTTTGAAATTCAAGCTGGGAAATATCTCTTGTGATACTGCCAATACCAGTTTGATTCGGAGGCCTGGACTGACTCTGCTGCCCTCGATTCCTTGTTGCAATTCGCGACGAATTTCAACGAATCTTCCAAGCTAGGGCTAGGCAAGCGATCTTTGGGGACGATATGGAGGTCGTCGCCGCGGATGAAGACGCGATGGAGGCTGTTGTCGGGGTTGAGCCAACAAGGGAGGTGGAAGGCGGCCTCGATGAGCAAGAACTCGCCGTCGGTGTCCTAAAACCTCACGGAGAGGTCGGGGAATCTTTGAGAAGCTTCGAAGAGGAGGAAGATGACAAACCACTCGTCTTTGAGATTGTCGCCGTAGCAGAGCTTGCCATGGAGGTGAGGCAGGTAGTCAGAGCAGAGGCAGGAAGGTTTGGAGGCAAGTGGTTGAACCTCCACCAGCGAAGGATTAGGGTTTGCAGTTGAGGAATCTGGTTTCTTTCTCCGGCCAAACAGAGATTTGAAATCCATTCTGTTGAGGAAAGAGAGCATGCCAAAGAAATGATGAAGAAGAAGGCCCTTAGGGCATTTTTGTCTTTTAATTGAAAAAAGAAAGCACATGATGCTCACATGCGGCAATTTGTTAAAAATTTGACGAAATTTGACGGAAATGACCATATTGTACATGTTTAAAGAGATTAATGGTTGTTTTGTCAAAAATAAAAAAGTTAGGGACTAAACTGTCACTTATTAAAAATGTTAGAGACTATTTGTGTAAATTACCCATAAAAAATTACAAAATTTACTATACAAATCTAAATTTTTAGCTCTCATTCTTAATTAATAATGTTTTGTTAGCATAATTATTTAACTTATTTAAGAGTAAGGAATACAAATCGTGACCATGTACTTTTAAGAGGTATTTATCTTCTTTTTTCATGAACAAAAGCTATTTTTTAACCAAAATCTATAAAAGTTTGTTAAATACATTAGCAAGAAAATATCAGAATCTTTTATTTAAGATTCTTTCACGAAGAATCTCGTAATAGAAAATGGAGAAAACTAAAATACCACTCAATATAGTTAAAAAAATATTATTTATGTCATTACATTCAAAAATGAACAATTGTCATTTAATTAATAAACAGAAAATAAAAGTCACAATAAAATTTAATTATTTATAATGATATAAATAATAAGTTTACACCCTCTCAAACCATATTTTTTTCATAAAAAAATTACAATGATAAAATAATGACAGAAAAAAAAAAAGGATTCAGTTTATAAATCCTTTATATGTGGTCCAGTCTGTAGTGGGTTGAACCGAGTATGGCAGGCCTAGCCCGATCCAAAAACATTCTTGGGCTAGTTAACAGGCTGAAAAAGTTAGGCCCAATCTGGCCATAGCTTATTACGAGTTAGATCGGTCCGCTGCAGTGCCTCACTGGATTGGAAAAGACCCACTTTTGTTGGATTGGACTAGGACTGCCCATGGAGCTACACTCACGGGAGACAAATAGCCCGTAGAAGAATTTTGAAATATTCAGAATGTAACACTATTTTATTTATACTACTTATGTTAAATTTATTTTATGTAGCTAATAATTTGTAAGTTATTTTTTCATAATTTTCAGGTTATTTTTTATAACGTACAAATTATCTTTTATAACCTGCAAGTTATTTTTTATTGTGGCATCAAAATTTTGTATAGTAACATAAATTATAGAGTAGGAAAAAACAATAGTTAATAATTAAATTTTCTCTAAAATATATGAATCTTGATTTTTATCTTTTACTCTTGATTAATACTAATAACAGATAAAAATTTAAACTCATACACTGTAAGTTTAGCAATTCTCTCTTTGAACCTGTAAATTGGAACTTAATGAGGACTTTTTAACCATTTAAAATAATAAAACAACATTTAAATGTTTATTTATATGAACAGTTTCGCATAATTATTTGGTTCTTCTTTTTTTCAAACAATGGCTAACCAATCGTTACTACCCCGTGGATTTCATTATATTCATCCATATTCATCAGAAACCAGAGTGGCTTCTGATTTATAGTAAACAGTCATATTCATTCGAGTGTTTGATGCATGAATAGCTTGTAAACAATTCCTTTTCCCTAGTAACTATTTCAGACCCGTTCATTTCACCGATTCGAGTTTAGAATTTAAGTTTTGTTACAGTAAAAAATTTTTAAAAACAGTCACATCTAACTTTTTTACTACAGTAAAAAACTCTAATATAAAGTCATATCTTAACTCAAATTAAAAATTTAAATAAGTGAATTAAGCGTGCCTCTTTAACTATCCAAGTCGCAACAACATTTTCAACAGTTTCCTTTTTTATTATACTCTGACAAAAAATTATCGAAGACAAAAATCAAAATATCTATGGTGTCTAAATAAGTGATTGGATCTTTTATATATATATATATATATATATATATATATATATGCCTTTTAGCTTTTTAGAGAGGGACAGATTTAATCAACATGCACTGCATGGCCAATTTGTGGCAAAATAAGGTTAAAAGGATACATACAACATTAAAAACTAGTGGCCGCACATGTTGCTACTTTGTTATTCATATGATATAAAAAAATATAAGAGATAAAAGCGTCAAAAAAATGTACTAACATCCTAAACCTTATATATAGGTATTAAATTGTTCAAATGAAAATTTTAAATTTAAATTTAAATTTTTATAAGAGAAAATACTATTATAAAAAAATTGAATTGCGAAAAGAACGGCCCTTTTAAGCAAGAATCGTTGAATTATATTCTATTTTTGTTCGCACATCAATCTTGATTTTTGGCTTCTTGTTAACAACTGCATGGTCATTATCTTCCTTAACTCACATTAGTTTGGTAAAACTTTAATTCAGTTAGGCGCAGCGCAGGCTATTCCTAGTTTAATTCTTCAAACCAAACTAATGCCCTCCAACAAATCCCAACCAACTTTTCTTGTGACAATCTATCACATTAAAAATTGATTTAAACCTACCTAAAATAATGGAACAATTTTCTTTTATGTGGGGATGGCATAACTTATCATGTAACAAGTGGGGGGAAAAAAAAAATACCCATGAAGAAACGCACAAATACAAGTGATGGCAATAAAATAAGTGGCAAAATTTGTTCGCTTAGTTGAGGTCAAATGCCCAAAAGCGATTGCTTAGAAAGACCAAAGTGCTTTAAATCACTTTAGAATTTAGATGCTTTGCTGTCAATAAAAAAAAAAAGGGGGTCAAAATAAACAAAGACATATTATTGCCTTCACTTTGCTATCTTTTTGCTTCCTTAATTTATAATTGTAAATTTGTAGGAGATCCGAAACTGATTTGGTTCCTTTTACCTACTCATACAGAACTTTATGACCAAAGAAAAAGGAAAGATGGGAAGAAGTTTAAAGGTCATGATATAATGGAATTCCTTTTATTTATTTATGTATTTGCTTTTTTTTTTTTTCCTCATTATTTCTCAGTCTCTTTTCTTTCCATGTAAGATAAAAGAGAAAACAAAAGGGGTAGAAAATTAGAAAGGAAGAGAGACAACAAGAGAAAAAAGGTTAACAAATTTCCTAATATATATAAATATATATATATATATAATATGTTGGGTGATTACTTTCGGTGAAATTATTAGCGGTTGGAAATGCATGTGCGTTGCAGTGGTAGACCACAGTTAGTTCAGCCTGTCTCACACCTAAGCCTCATATGTGTTCTGGCTTGACTCTGCTGTCTGCATTTTAACTTACTAGGCTCATCATATTCTCCGATTATGATTATTTTTATTTCCATTAATTATTATTGTAATTGACTTATAAATTAAAAACGACAACATCCCTGAAAAACGACAATATTTTGCAAACGCTACCGTATTTGATACTAGAATGCGTGTCATGGTTCGAATCTCGTTACAGTATTTTCTTTTAAAAAAATACACGTAAATTGATAATAGTTCTGAATTCATGAATCAAACGTCCACGCATTAAACATCAAAGCTTGAAAATATCAGTTAAAAAACATTTTAAATTTCCTAAATGTCATGGTGTATTTTAGTTGATTGAGCACCATTTTGAAAATTAAAATTGAATAAGTAATTTGAGTCCGGTATAAACTAAGCCGATATTTTATCATATCATATATATAGTAGCCGTTGCCAAATTATTGAAAAAAGAAAAAAGCAAAAAAAAAAAAAAAAAATGGCAAAAACTGAAACAGAGAGAAAGGAAACGGTTTAGGCAGAGGGAGACCCCACCCCCACGAAAAGCAACCAACGACACTCTTAAAAAAAAACTCTTTCTTCTATCATCCAATTTCCTTTCTTTGCTTTCACTGCTCTTCTTCTTCTTCAATCTTCACATCACTTCCACATTTCTTCTTTACATCACCAACAACTATTCACTTTCTCACTCCTTTTTTCATTCAGTGTTCTTCTGAACTTGGTTCTGTTCCTTTTCTGTTGGTTCCTCACTTTGGATCTCTGTTCTCCCAATTCAGGTTTTATCCACTTTCTCCCTATTTTATGTGTTGATGCACATTTTCACTTCAATATGTACGTGGGTTTGTGTTTGAATCTTATTTTCTGTTGCGGTTGTTGTTCTGAAGCTTTTTTGTTCTTGAATCATGCATGTACAGTGTTAGTATGGACTGAGAATTCAAAATTTGGTACTTAAAAATTATGATTTTGTTTTGTATGCTTGGGAAAAATCATGTATGTACAGTGTTAGTGACTGGTTAACTGTTTGGAAAAAAAAAAAAAAAACTGAAACCTTGTTTTTTTTTTTTTTAATATTAGAACAAAATCACTATTACTATGTTGGTTAAAGTAAATTGGACTTTTTCTGGAGTTGCGTGCTTTTCCCACTGTGTTGTTTTTGGAATTGGGTTTGTCCATTCACAACATTTCTAGGATTGAACTGGTTATTTTTATGGTTGATTTTGGCAATTTTGTGTTTGGCTGTCTTGATCAGTTATCTTTGAGTATTGGGTTTGTGTTTGTTCAGTTTTCTGTTCATGTTATTGGTTTGATTTGGACATATTGTTGTGCATAATTGGTGGGATTTTGTTCCTTTGGTTTCTTACTTTCTGGTGAAGTTTAAATTTAAAAAGAAACTCTGGAAGTTTTTTTGTTTGGTTGTTGACTTGAATCTGGTTGATTTTTGGTTTAGGGTGATTAGAACCATGACTTCAGAGCTCTTGGAAATTCAACCTTCTGAACTCAAGTTTACCTGTAAGTTAAATTGAGTAGTTTTCCCTTTTAGTATTATCCAATGTTTCTTGTTTTTCTTTCTTTTTAATGAACCAGGGATAAAATATATTAACTACCTATACTTCTACGGTACAATTTTATGTACTATATTTTTCTATAAGATTTTTAATGATCCTGGTCATACCTGGATATGGTGTTATTATCTAGGAAAACAAATTAAAGTCTCTAAACACTATGTCCATTGAAAAAAAAAAAAAATATATATATATATATATATTATTCAAATGCAGGATTAATTTCATTTTTATTTTCACTCGTTTGCTCATGTCTCTTTTTAATTTTAAATTACTGATTTTGCCATCTCTCTCTCTCTCTCTCTCTGTCCAGTTGAGTTGAAGAAACAAAGTTCTTGTTCAATTCAACTTGGAAACAAGTCTGCTCACTATGTTGCATTCAAGGTACAGTTATTTGTTCTAGAGACCATTAGCAAAGAGTCTCTATGTTAGGAAGTTCTGACACACACACACACACACACACACACACACATATATATATATATATTTCCTTTTTATATTTTAGAATGGAGGAAACTTTGATTTGATTATATAATATGATTAATGGATGTTGGTTAGTGCATATGATTTACAAAATGTATTGGCAGGTGAAAACAACTTCTCCAAAGAAATACTGTGTACGACCAAACATAGGCATTATAAAGCCCAATGCAACATGTGATTTCACAGGTTCTTACTGATCATTCATAGTCCTTATAACTGTAATGTATTTAAAACATTTTTACCAGAAGGATTCAACCCAAATATCTGTTGCTGAGAATAAATGGAACATAATTTTTCGCTCTTCGTTTCGGTTGGTGCAGTGACTATGCAAGCTCAGCGCGTGGCTCCAACAGATTTGCACTGCAAAGACAAGTTTCTGATCCAAAGCGCAGTTGTGCCCAATGGAACAACTGAAGAGGACATAACATCTGCAATGGTGGGAAGTTGTTGTGATCATTTGTTTAGATTGTTCTTATATGATGCTTTTTTTTATCTCTTTTGGATCTTTTTGGGCAGTTTTTAAAAGACGGTGAAAAGTGCGTCGAAGAGAAGAAGCTAAGGGTTGTGCTCATCAGCCCACCCCCTTCCCCAGTATTGGTGCCAAGAAATGGTGAAGCAAAGCAAGATCCATATACTGAAACTTCAGTGCAAAAGGATAAAGTTATGAGTGGTGCTGAAAATATACCACCATCTCTTAAGGTAAGAGAAATTGTATCAGCTTGTAAACTACTCTTGAAAAGTTCTGTTTTTCGCTCTTCTTTTTGTTCTCAAACATGCTCTATTTGTATACATTTAGCTAATTTTCTTACTACTTGTTTCTTAGTCAAAGTGTCCTTATATGCACATGTATTTTTAAATATATTGCTATTTTTGTTATAATTGTTCATCATCCATTTTCTAGTAGGACTTATAACATTCATTTGGGACAAATTGGATGAAAGCATAATTATTGGTTTAAATTCCTGGCTTATGTAATTTTTTTTTTTTTTTTATTTTTTTTTTTTTTTTATTTTTTTTTTTTTTTTATTTTTTTTTTTTTTTTATTTTTTTTTTTTTTTTATTTTTTTTTTTTTTTTATTTTTTTTTTTTTTTTTAATTTTTATGTTTTAGATGAGTAGAATGTGAAACTAGAATTATTAGAAAATCCATGCAGTATAATTAATGACCCCCCTGAAAACCCCACTACTTGTTTATTTGTTTACAAAGAATGTAGAGGGATTTGAACTTGCCAAGGTTAAGGACGAGTTTAGAGCAGCAAATGATGCGGAGTTAAGGCCAACTAGTGATGATTCGGAAGAACTTCACCCCAAAAGTAAAGAGAATTTGGAAGAACTGAAACCAGCAAAAGATGCTGTATTCCTCAACTTAAGTAAGGATTTCAAGGATATGACCTCAAAGTTAAGTGTAGTGGAGTCAAAGCTAAAAGAGGTCAGTTTTTTTTTTTTTTTTTTTTTAACTTATTTATTTATTTATTTATTTTTAACTCCCTTGCAAGTGTAAACTTATAATTAGCCATCTCTTTGGCCTCAGATTGAGTTCCAAACCTTTTTTTGGTTGAATTGTTTTGAGAGATTATATTTGGCCATCCCCACTTAAGTTCAAGTTGTTGTGGCATTCTTGCAGGCTGAGCTTACTATAATGAAACTGACGGAAGAGAAGAGCAAAAACACCCAAGAGAGAGAAGTGCTTAAGCATGAATTGGTGGGTACTATTTCATGTCCTTCTTCTTCTTCTTTTCCTTTATTTTTTTTTATTTTTTTTTGTTTTTTTTTGTTTTTTTGGCATTGTTATTCATCACTATATGTAACTATAAGTTGCGCAGTTAAACAGAATCGTCACATAATACAAACTATGAAAAATACGCCCCCCACATTGCTATGTACCATCTCTAGTGATTAAATCACCAATGCTAATAATTTGACACAAAATATTATCTCTTCCATTATGTGAAATGATTGATTTTATAGAATAAATTATTATTATCATTATTATTATTTCAAATTGCATTTAGGTGTGAGATAGTTACACTTTTTTTTTTTTTTTTTTTTTTTTTTTTTTTTTTTGGGGGGGTTGTTGAAGAGGAAATACAGTGTGAGAAGTGTGCAAGTTGGATTCCCGTTTCTTTATGTTTGTATAATTGCCTTCATTGGCTTGGCGACTGGATATTATCTCCATCCATAGGAAAAGCCTGAACTGTTGAGTGATTGAGCATCTTTTGTTCTTAGAGGTGTTTTGTTTAAAATTGTATCTTATTTTGTAATATATGGATCTGTACCGATTGGGCATACAAGTGTTTTTTTTTTTAAATAGAGGAGATGTTAGTCATTTGCTAAGGAACTGGTCTTTGTACTCATCTTGTTTTATCTCGTTTACTAATAATATTTAGGAACATAACACGCCTACAAACTTTTGGATATATTATGATTCTGTAACTTAACACACTGAGGCAAAATTTTATTGTCTCCAAAATCATGATGTGGTTGGATTAAACGTCCCGTTTAGTTTGCTTATTCGAGTTTTTAATTCGAGTTCAGATATAACTTTATGTGAAAGCTTTTTACTGTAGTAAAAAAATTGAATGTGACTGTTTCTTAGAATTTTTTACTGTAACAAAACTCAATCGGTAAAATAAACGGGGTGTGATCCTAGATTTTTTTTTTTACGTACCATTTTCAGTTAATATGTGATAAGGACGCGATTATCTTGTATGATTTCACAAATTCTTAGTCAATTTTAATGTCAACGACGAATACTATTAAAAAAAATCAAAATTTATAGAGTAATTTATCAAAATAAAAAATTTATGACATCGATATGTCTAGGACTAGTAATGCTTCCTCCAAGTTTACAATTTTCTTATCGTTCAACTCTACAACATGACCTTTCTATGTAGCACTGGCATCTCTAGTGGACATTTAGTTCATAGATTCAGAATCATGATTCAAAACTATTCTCAATTTACGTGTATTTTTTATGTGAAAAAATAATGTACCGAACTACGAACTATTATTCAAATTATGGCACGAATACACTAACCAAACGCACTCCTATAGTGATTAAATCAGAAATGGTACTAAATTGATACAGTTGAAGACACGATAATATCTCTTCCATTACTTGAAGTGATTGATTGTTTACAATAAATTAATTGTTTTTTTTAACAGGATATAATGTAATTCTGTAACTTAACACACTGAGGTAAAATTTTATTGTATGCAAAATCGTGATATGGTTGGATTAACCACAGTGTGTGAGCCCGGATTTTATTTATGTAACATTTTCTGTAAATATGCAATACGGATATGATTATCTTGTATGATTTCACAAATTCTTGGTCAGTTTTAAAGTTAGAGATGAAAATTATTAAAAATATAAAACCAAAAGTACTCATAGAATAATTTGCCAAAAAAATTAAAAATGTCACTATTTTAAGAACTAATGATTATGTAGTATTTAGAAAAGTCTTGAATTTTGTTGTCGTTCAAGAAAGTTTGAAAACTGGTTTGAGGCGAGAAACGACATTGATTTTCTTATCCAGAGTTGTAATAGGTCATTTGTTAAAAGAATATTTATAATAAAAACATGATAAATGATCCATTTACGAAACAAGCCACTAGAGCTAAAAGAGCTCTGTAAAGTGTTCTAGCTAGCTTTTCTCTTAAGAAAACTCGTGGCTGTTAAAATTTCTCTAGTGTTTTCAGCATTTGAGCCAAATTTGATTTATACCATCTTTCTCTTGGTTTGTACTTTGTACAATATTTGTATCAAATCCTCAATATTTCTGATGTAAAAGTCATATCGGTTGCTCAAATCGTCTTGAAAGTTTCTTGGATTGGGGGCAGTCAAACGGTAAAAGTTTATTAGATGCGTAGACGATTCACTATAAATTTACCTCTTTTTTTTTCTTTCTTTTATGGAATGTTGTAATTTTAATTTACCCTACTAACGGGATTAATCTCACAAATAGCCACTGAAGTTTAGTCTCAATCTCATTTTATTCTCTGATTTTTCAAACATCGCATAATTAGTCTCTGAGATTTTATTCTATTTTAGTTTCGGTCATTATGTTAGTTTAATGTTAAATATTTGACGGAATCTATAAAAATTATGGATTAAAATTGAAAACATATAAAATTTAAAAGCTAAAACAATATAAAAAAATTAAAAATTAATTTCCGCAGATAGACACAAAATTTTAGTTGTTTCTAATGCTGGACTCTAATTTACACATATTTTATTAAATTTTAATGCCTAGTTGATGGAAGGAATGCAATTGAAAATAAAACTTCAAGAATCATCTGTGCCACGTTTAAAAAGTGAGAGACTAAAGTGGAATTAAGTGTAGACCACATGAACCATTTGTAAAATTAACTCAAATAATAAAACATGATGAGTACATAAAACAAACCATATAATTTGCTATGCATAACGTTTAAAAAACGTAACATAAGACTTTTTTTTTAAACACTGAATGGACCAAAAATATTTATTTTACTATATAATCAGGAGCTCCTCAACGTTTTTGTATTATAGCTATAGCATAAAGAGACAGACAAAGTGTTTTAAATCCTTCAACGTAACTGTATCCAAGCCTGTTATAATACGTAGAAATTGAGGTGTAAAAGGACATTAATCTATATAAGAATGATTTTAAAAATGTGTGACGATAAAAGGATTTATTTAATCCAAATTAGTGTCACTTTTCAAAATTCTTATTAAATAAAATATATATCAAGTTACACCATAATTTGTATGTATTATACATGTAGGTTGGCCCTCAATGCTAGTAACTACAATAATGGTGGCCACTCACCTGAGTAGCCAATCTTTCACTTTAGTAGAGTGTACATTAAATCTTTTTAATAAATTTTCTTAATAAAGACATATAAAAATATATATTTATTTTAGTGAAGGTAAATATTATTTTAGTGTAAAATTTTAAAATTTTTTTAAAAAATATGTTTTTTAAAAAAATTTAAGTGAGAGCGGCTGCCCCCGCTCATTTTCAAGTGGCTCTGCCACTGCCTGAGTTGTCACACAAATTCCCCGGTTAAAAAAATTTTAAGTGAGAGCGGCTGCCCCGCTCATTTTTAAGTGGCTCTGCCAGTGCCACTGCCTGAGTTGTCACACAAATTCCCCGGTTATAATGGTCATGTGGCTTTGAGCATATTTCAGTACATTCTGCACTATTCTTACACTCATCGTCGTTACAGGGTGGCCAATTGTCCTTACAAGGGCTTAGCCCATCCAGTGTCCGTGGAACCGATTCACTTGCTTCTATTGTTTAAAAAAAAAAAGAAATCACTTGTAATCTAGAAAATTAAATATACACATATATGTATGTATATTGTATATACAAATAAAAATGGATATTCTTCTGTGGACATTTGATTAAAAAAAAGGACAAATTGGGGTAAAAACTAAAAAGAATGTTATTGTACAACCGTTTGAATGGTTTTAATTATGTATTTTATAATACGTACACCCTATTAATATTAATCATACATAAAACAATTTAGGATATGGAAAAAAAAAAAACTATGGCCTCCTTAGTAGGGATGCAACTATGGGTCGAGACTCGTGACCTGGCCCGGGCCCATCCTAATACAGTATCAGGTCAGACCTGCCCGGCACGATATTATTCAAGGTACAGTTCAACTCAATAAAATTGGCGGCCAAGGCTGGACTAGTATTTCTCGGCCCATAGGCCAGCCCATGAAAATTGAGCTTGAACCGTGCCATCGCAGCACAAATAAGCCCAATATAAACCGGCTCATCCTGACCCATATAAGGCCCACTTAATTCAACTCATATATCAACAATGGACCAGTGTAGCCCAATTACATATACGTGTGTATATATATATATATATCATTATATATTTTTTGCTAATGATTGGAGAATGGCCTTCTGCAATGCCTGGCATATTAGGTTTTTTATGTGTTTTTATTTGTTTGATTTTTATTTAATAATTTTATAAACATCTTATAGACATATAATAAATTAATATGTTAAATAATTAAAAATTATTAATTTATAGTCGATTATAAGTAATTATTATGTTGGTAACGTATTCAATAATTAGTTTATAAGTAATTAATTAGTGTGTTCATAAAAAATAATTAGTATAAAAAATAATTATTAATATTATATTTATTAATTAAATTATAAACTTTAATAATTAAATAATTAGTTAATTGATTACTAATGTTTATTTAATGCTCTATTATTTGATATATTAAATAATATTTTTTTGGTAATTATGATTTAAATAATGATTAATTACTATTTATCAATTATTAATTATTATTGATTAGTATATGTTTAATGCTCTATTATTTGACATATTAAATAATCATTTTTTGGTAATTATTATTTATATAATGATTAATTACTATTTATCAATTATTAATTATTATTGATTAGTATATTACCTAATTAATAATTAATTTAATATTAATTATTAATTGAGTAATTACTGTTTGTTTTTTATTTATCAAGAATTTATTAATTAATAGATTATAATTAATGTAATATAATATTGATAAATGAATTATTAGTTATTTATTTAATAACCTATTATTAATTATTCTATTATTATTATATTATATAATCAATTTTCAACCATTAATTTTGAACTAAATAAAATAATAATAAATTATATTTAATTAATAATTAAATAATTAATTTTTATTAATCATATCTATTTATTAATTAATATATTCTATAATTAATAATTATTTATTTAATATAACATTGTAGATAGGTACTAGAAAATGAAAAGGGAAAAAGGAAAACAACTTTAAATCGTTTTCTATTTTTTTTTATAAAAACCATTCTAATTATTTTTATTTTTTATTTTCATTTTTATAATATTTATTAAATAAATGCGGTTTACAAACTATTTTTATTTTTGTGCCTAAAAAAACGTGTGAAACGTTTTTAAAACATCTGAAAAACAGTTCCAAATACACCCTCAGTTTCAATCATATTTATGGAGAGAAAAATGACATTTACTCGAGGAAATTACGAGGAGTTAATGTTGAAGGTGATATATAAATGAACGGAAGATTATAACGGTAACCTGAGTGTTGAAAGAAGATGAAAAATTTTAAGACGAAAGCCATGAAATAAAAGGACTTGTAAGTTTTATCGATCTTCATCTTGTGCACGTATTAATTAGTGGGAAATCATGATGACTCCTTCGTATTTATATCATGATTTGTTTCAAGTCGTTTTCAAAAGTTATAAAGATTATAGTATATAACCAATATATATATATATATATAGCATATTAAACGAGGATTGCCTCCTCCAATCCATAAAGAAATACATTTCATAAGACAGCCAACTAATATTTGAATTTGACAAAAATGCAAATATTAATCAATTAATTTATGTTTGGTTTATTTAATTAACTTGACAAAGGATATAACAAACTAGGCTGTGTTTAAAATTGATTCCATTTTTATTTTTCACGTTTTTCAAAAAAAATAATGAAAACATTTTTAAAACGACGTTTGACGTAATAAAAATAAAAAACAGAAATGAAATCGATATTTTGATTTTTTATTTTTTATTTTCTCCTCTCTCGAGCAGAGAGAAAGAGATAGACATTAATATATTTTTTTATACTGAAAATAATCTCTTAATAAAACTACCAAATACAATTTTAAAAATGATTTCTGTCTGAGATTAAAAACGTTTTCATTTTTATTTTCATATAAAAAATAAAATTATTTTAAAATAAATTTTAAACGCGTCCTTAACTTTTTGTGGCTCGGAAAATCAAGCGATTCATAAGAGAAGTTAACCTTGATTCTTTTCTTTATTTGATCTTTGGTAAAAACTTCAATAGTACTTGAGATTTATCGTCTCTTCAGCTTCACAAAGGTTATCCTGTTCAGTATTTTAATAGGACGATATGATTAAACATTTTTATATGAAGTTGTGATAGTGAAAATTTCAATAAGGGGATTTAAGCCGTGTCGATTTGGGTAAAAAAAAAAGAAAAAGAAAAAAGAAAGGATAATTGGCATGACGTGGGAGAAAATTAGACCTTTTTTTTGGCTGAAATTAGAAGTTGTGCTATTTTTTTTAACTATCCTTACCTATTCTTTATCGATTTTTATTTAATGATTTATATAAACTAGAAATATTTTGACTTACTCGTTTGCGGCTTATTTATGAGAGGGTATGTCGTTTGTTGAATAAGATTTTTGTTGTTTTTCTCAAATAACATGACGTTTATCTATAAAGCTTACAATTTTCTTGTTGTTTAAAAGGTTTACATTCTACAATCATTTCTAAATTCTTAAATTTTACTATATTTTTCTCAATAAATAAATAGATAAACAAAATTACTATTGTTTAAGAAACTACGGGCGTGTTTGGAACTCGTTCTAAAATGATTTTATTTTTTGTGTGAAAATAAAAACGTTTTCAATCTCAGACATAAATTATTTTTAAAAATGTATTTAGTAGTTTTATCAAGAAATTGTTTTTAGTGTAAAAAAACTCATTAATGTCTCTCTTTCTCTCTCTCTGCTCGAGAGAGGAGAAAACGAAAACACAAAAAATGAAAAAAGACTAAAACTCATTTTTTATTTCTCTCTCATTTTACACTAAACTAAAAAATCGTTTTCATTTCTTTTTTTGTCTTTATTACTCCAAACGCCGTTTTAAAAACGTTTTCATTTTTTTTCTCAAAAAACGTGAAAAATAAAAATAGAATCAATTACAAACACAGTCTACATGTCTTCTAACCTTTAAAAACTGTTGTCCTTTGATGCAAGATAGCGACAAGCATTTCCTCTTTTGACTCAAAACAAGTGTCGTCTTATTTTGTATATTTGTTGCCCTTTTACATTTAGAAAACGACATGTTTTGAGTATAAACTTCGTCAAAATTTTTGAAACGACATATAATATTTTGCCGCTGGTTAGGGAGAAAACCCAATATATTTCTTTTCCCCATCCAATATGCTTATTTCAGGCTTAGAACTTGCCTTTCTGTGTTAATGAGAATAAACATGTCCTGGGTCAATTATTTACAAAAAAAATGTCGTTTGCATTTTCAACGTCGTGGTATGTCATGACTCCGATACTTTCTGACATGCCCATGTCGTTTGTGTCTAAAACCTACATGTCATTGTCGTTCACTGTAAACGACATGTATTTTGTAATTTCATTACAAAAGCAGTCATTGCTGCATACATGCAATCAATAAGCATTGAGAAAATCAAAAGTCACTAGATTTCATTCAAGAAATCAATTTCTCATATTAGAATATCATCAATCAACGTTTTACAAAACCAATCAGACAAAACTTAAGACAGCTATAAAAAAAAACTGTCAAAGTGTCAATGACACAAAACTCCTCGCAAACCTATGTATACACCCAAAAAAAAAAAAAAAATCATCACTCCAAACAAAGCAGCCTCCGTTGAATAAAACCGTCGTCACCACCCCCAGATTATAATTAACATCTTCTCCTATACACAAACCAAAACTCTTGAATCCCAATTTCAAGCCACACTATAACTCCCTAAATTAGTGCTTTCTTTTGTAAATATGATTATCTTGTCACAATGAACAAAAACGTTCAATAATTTTCAAAAAGAACTTTGGCTTTGATGTTTCTTCATGTTGTCAACGGTTGTACACCTTACTCAGTGGGAGAGCCTGGAACAAAGGGAACAAAACCCCGACCGCCGAAGACCGGTCTCATGAATCCGTCGTCGAATTTTCGCCAATAGTGGTGGACAGTGTGAGATGGGATGCTTAGAAGCATCCTCAGACTGGTTGGACGTGTTACATTGTTGAAACTAGCATTGGCCTCAGTGTCCTCCTGACCGTTACCGAGTAGTGGCGTCGTGAGGGATTTCGGAGTGGAGGGTTCGGAGGACAACGTGTTGATTTGTTTTGAGGAAGGTAGAAAGATCCTCACAATTGGTTTTGTCATCAATCCAAACACCTGCGTAGACAAATTATGGGAAAATGGTAAGGTCAGTTCTTGTCTAATTTTCAGCCACTTTTATTTTTATTTTTATAAGTAAAACAAGGAAGTTAGTTGGTGTTAGTGAGACAATATGGGACATTTTTTTAGACGTTTTCTCTACTTATTCCTCTTCCTTTTCTTGCAAAGGAAGAAGGGCATATTAGCAATTTCAGACATGATCTGATAAAAGAGAGTTCGAGAATCCAAGGAACTATGAGGAAGGGGTATCGTATGTCAATATTTAGTTTCCATTTTATCAGAGTAATTTCAATTGTCAACATTCCTTATTTCATTTTGGTCGAGTTTCCCATTTTGCTTAATTAAGAAATTATACTCTCTTATAAATAGAGTTAGTTTCCCATTTTCTATGTTTTGATTTAGTTTTCTATTTTGTTATCTGGTTTTCCTATAAAAAAAGACAATGTTTAATGAATCTTGATATTAGTGGTTTATCTCTCGAGTTCTTGTTTTTCTCTCTAGATTCTCTTTATTCTTTATTTCTCTCGCTGGTGGCTTTTCTTCTTTATCTGGAATGGCAAAGGATTGGCCCCTTCATAAGCTACATTAAAAAGCTCTCAGAAACAGTCGCATCTAATTTTTTTGCTACAATAAAAAATTCTCACATAAAATTATATCTCAACTCAAATTAAAACCTCAAATCAACAAACTAAAGGCCCTTAATTACCATGGTGATCAAAACTTTCCAGTGTTTTCAAGATTTTCTCTACAACGTGGATATTTCTACAATCGAGTCTCAAGCTTCTATAGCTCCTTTGCGATTGAAGATTTTCTATGTTTTAGATGGTTGCTTCATAATTTGTTTGTTTAAATTTATCGGAGTCGAGTTTCACAACCATGATGGGATCATATATTAATTATTTTAATATTAAGTTTCCTTTTTATTAGGGGTTTTTTTTTTTTTTTTTTTTTTATTAGGGAGTATCCAATTGTCAATCTTCTTTATTTTATTTTTGTCTAGTTTCTTATTTTGCTTAAATAGCAATTTATAACTTTTTGAAAAATTGGATTGGTTTCTCATTACTAGAGTTTCCATATTTCAAGCTGATTCAGTTTCCTATTTTGTTATTTGGTTTTTTAAATGACAAGACAATGGTTAATGAATATTGATATTAGTCTTCTTCTTTTATCTTAAATCTATCATAGTATCTTTATGATTGAAACCAAAAAAGCTAAAAATTTCCAAGACAAGACCGCTTTGGTGGGATCTGCAGTTTACTTGGTTTTTATCACTCAACAACTTGTGCAATGTGCACATAAACTTGACGAACCAGATATTTGTAGTAGGTTAGTGATGATTAAGTGTACAACTTACCACTGTGCTGAAGAGAACAACTGTGATGGTACTGGTGATCATGACTGCATTCCCTTGCAAATGCGTATGCCCCAATCTAGTAAACTGCAGAAATAAGAAGGATCATTTTCCTTCTTGTCTTGTCTGAATGATGGTAAGTGAAAGATAGGCTTTGTTTTTTTCAAAAGTACTATTTCTCAAAAAAAAAAAAACAGGAAAAAAAAGAAGTTGCAGTGTCATTAAGCATTTTCCCCTGTCATTATTCAACCATCTGTTCTTTAGCATAAACTTGGAACACCCTCGCTGCACCAATGCATGGCCAAATAATAGAAAAAATATATATGTTTAGTCTTCTACCTGATTATAGGCTAGTGCGACGGAAACAGCACCGCGCATAAGACCCGCCCACCAAATTGTAATCTGCAAAACGAGAACTCATTGAGACACATGACATCTATTGATTTAAGATTCTAATGCCTTAAGGTCAAGGGGCCAAATGTTAAGAATCTCATACTTGTTGCTTTAAGTCGACTTTCTCGTATGGAGAGTTTTTAGTCAGGTTGGACAAGAAAGATAAGGGGAAAACAAAGGCTGCTCTTCCAACAAGAACAAGTCCCAAAATTATTGAGCTCACACCAATCGATGTTCCGGGACTGAGGAAAAACGTAAGGAAAAAGAAAACTTAACCCCACATTGAGAAAAAGAGAAACATTCCTTCCAAGATAGATGTTTCATGGAAGCTATAGCTTATTCCGTGCATAAATCATACCTGCCGCTTACAATTTTCCACTTCTCAATATCCAATGCATCCATGCCAACATAAAGAAAAATAAAAATCTCCGCGACAAATGATAAAGTGGCAAAAGCATGTCTGCAGTAGTTGGTACACAGAATTGAGATGTTAGTAGCATGGCCATTGGAAAAACATTTTACCAACTATTAAGCAAAAAGAAAGAGAAAAAAAAAAAGAAATCTCCCAGATTAAAATAGAACTAACATGAATATATGCCAGTTATTCATGAGAAGTTTCTGAATGTTAACGTACTTGGTTGTCACTCTTGAACTTTCGGTGACATTATGCCATGTATAATGAGACATAACAATTCCACAAAAGAATACAGTGAGTATGGCGCTTAAGTAAAATAGCTGCAAAATAGATCAAATTTACGGTTAAATCTCATAATTCTTTTTCATCAGCGACAAAAAAAGAGATTCTGTTACAACACTTCTTGATATACTTACTTCAGCTAGCATATATGATAGGTAAGCCATGAGTATCATAAGAGCAACCTCGCGATCAGTGGAGTGTCTGGTCAAAAGCAAGTCACCAACAAAATGAAGTACAATATATCAGATGGATGAGAAATTTTGGACAAATACTAATTTCACAACTGTTGTGACTCATTGCGGCTATAAAGTATGATAAATTTGGCAACCATCACAGACTTCAGGTACTATATTGTACCCTCACTCACATTATTCTTGACAGTAATGAGAGTGAGAAACTAATTCACAAACCTGCCGAAGTAGAGCTTTTTAATAATATATGCACTGAGTAGTCCAGCCTGCAAGAATCAAAATGGCGAAAATTTTTCTTTCAGATCTAAAAGTAGTTCCCAAACTGGCGTGGTAGAAATACAAACATGCACAAAGAAAAAGGGAGAAAGAAGGAGCCTTACTACTACTCCTAGCAATGTACTCGCAACAAATAAATACAAAAAGTTTCCGATTAACTCCAAAGCGACGCCTGAATTGATATGAGAGAGATCGAAGTTCTGGATTGCGTTAAAAAGCACCACTGAAGTGGCATCATTTACAACACCTTCACCAAAGACCAAGCTGTATAACAATGGTGTCTCATCTTGATTAAGCACCTGCAATCAATATGCAGGAAATAAATCTCTGTTCTTAAACCCATTAAGAAGGCGCAATGCACAAGGCCTCAAATACCTGCAAGGTGCAAACGGAGTCTGTTGCAGAAAATATTGCTCCGATTGCTGCAACAAAGGGACTGATGAGATTAAAACAAGAAGTAAAATCATCAGAACTAAACAAAAACCAGAAATAATAAGAAATAAAAGATTAGCATACCAAGATAATCTCCCAACTTGAGGGTGCCCACATTCATTTTCTGAAAGAAGTGTATAGCACCTAGATCAATATAAGAAAAGAATTCATGAGTACGTTGAACAACTATGGTCACAAAACTCCATTCTAGAATTCTTCATGGACCAAAAAGAAAGATAATCCATATGACTTGCTAGAGCTTAAATGAACTCTTCCCTATTATACTTATTATGCCAACACTCATTCAAGATGCTATTCATATCTAAACTACTTGGTATAGAAACAAACTAAAACAATGAAGATCCTTAAGTTCTTGAGTGTACCTAAGGAAATTATGCCAAAGGATATGAGAGTACCAACAGCACCAAACAGCATGATAGTTATGAAATTGCGAAAAAATTGCTTCTTCTTCACCTGGAACCTAGTAAAGTCGAAAAGACAATCTATCAAAACAGAAGTGGTCCAGGTATCAAATCAGAAACATAAAGTTTGAATGGTACTATTTCGCATGAAAAAAAAAAAAAAAAAAAAAAAAATTGTGGTCCCAAGAGAAGACAAGAAGAGAACAAAAACAAAAAAAAGGTGCATAAAGGTTTTGTTGGTTTATGACAAATAAAACAAGAAAGGGTGTGAGTGAATGAATGCGCGTTGAAAGGTTAAAAAGTAAAAAAGCTAACTATTGAGATTGTATGCAAAACCCATTCATACAAACTTTTATGATTTGATCGTATGCCATTGTATTAACACTCATTGCACAATTCTGAAGTTCACAAGGTGAGGACAAGATAATTACACTTCTTTTTTCAGAGCTACAGCCTGGTTGATTTTTGTTTCCATATGAATTACAAATAGAAAGCAAAAACATTTTACTTTCACTGAAACTATATTTCAACACCATAATTAAACAGCAATAAGCACATGTGCACCATATTGAGCTATCAAAACTCAATAATAACAATTAGTAATAATTTGGTAAATTATTCGATTGCTGACGTCACCAATGTCATGGTTGGGCTTTTGTTGTTTCTCTGTTTCCCTTTCTTTTTTTTCTTTTTTTTTATTTTTATTTTAACCTGGTCGAGTCTGAGGGAGATGTCCCAAACAACACTTAGAGCCCGTTTGGTTCATGGATTAGAACTATGAGATTAGAATCATTTTTTATTTACGTGTATTTTTTATGAGAGAAAATATTATAGCGAATCATGAACCATGATTCAAATCAGAGAACGAATCCTCCCACCAAACGGGCTCTTATATTTTTCCTCTTTGATGAATATCATTTTTGTTTCTTTTTTAAAAAGTAAAGATGGTAATTTTATTCAACCGAAACGAATATTACTAAGGTCGAAATACCATATGATATGGCAATTTGATGAATTTCACATTTGTTAACACTTAACCATATAAGAATCGCTAAAGCCAAATTTTGATTACCCAGCATTGAAAATGATCGGCGGAAGAAGATAAATAAAGAAAAGCTCTTCACTAAACACCAACAAACGCGAGCTCTTTCCTCCACTTGTAAGCAATATAACAACTCCAGTACACAGTCCCTACCATTACAAGCCACAAAATCACATAAAAAAACAACCCAACAAAAAAAGCCACAAAATCACAAAAAAAAACAAAACTAAAAAAAAAAAAAAAGTTGAGAAAAAAAAAGACAATACATATACAATAAATATATATATATATATATATATATATATATATATAACTTACACTTGCTAGGGCGGTAATGGACT